CCGGACCCCCTGTGCTCCCTCCACGCCAGCACCGTCCCCTCCAGCAGTGAGTGCCATTGCTGCCGCCCTTCTGCTCCCCAGGCTTTCCAGCGGGAAGTGCTGTGCTAACCGGCCATGAGACTGTTTGTTTTGGAAACTACTTGGATGTCATTTTCTTAAATAAGCTGGATGAAGTGTATCTCATAAAACATTCATGTCACTATAATACTCAGGCCTAAGTGAATGGAATAGAAACCCTATAAAAAACAAAACAAACACAATAAAATGGTAACAAAGAGTATATTGTGTTTACTAACAGAATTACATCAAAGGCAAGTTTGAATATGGGATCCAGTGACTTAGCTGACTTGAGCTGGCCCCGGTGCAGAGGTGGTCTCTGCTAGCCTGGGCATTCCCCAAAATCCCCTATACCCGAAGGGCCACGTCCTACTGCGCATCGCCTCCCTACATGTTCCTGTGTCTGTTGGTGCCTTTGTAGAGTTCTCTGTAAATTGTCAGGTCTTACCATCGGCTTCTCAGCAGCCCGAGCACCCGCAGGCGCTGCCTTTGCTGCCCGCCCGGGGCCACACAGGCTCAGTGCAGCAGGGTGATGATCAAGGTGCTGGGGCTGGACCCCTCTGAGGTGCCAGCAGGCAGCATCTGAGCCTCCTCCCTTCCTGCGGGTGATCCAGTCTGTCTCACCAAACTGTCGAGGTGAATTTCCTGCCTGTCTCTTCCCCCAGTCCTTCCCTCCCTGTGATGCCGAGACTCTTGTCCCTCCCCAGGACACAGCCCACCGATCTGGCTTGCCAATGACACCTGTCTGTTGGCTCATCTTTGCTCTTCCTGACTCCAAAAACTTTGCTCTCTGCCTGATAAAAGGCTGCCTTCCTGGATCTCTCTTAGCAGCCTTGAAAGCCAAGTCTATTCCCACCAAAGCCTGGCACTGGCTCCGAGTCTTTTTGCCAGCTGGAAGCAGAAATACCGGCATCCTTTGGTTAAAGACAACAAACCAAACAGGATTTGTAGTTTGGCTTCCAAGCAGGGAAGCATTTTGGGAAGATAGTTATAAATAAGTAGTTTAACATCTCCTGCCAGCAGACATCACAGAGAAGATAATGTTCTTTTTTTTTTAAATCTGTCAGCGGCTCAAATTGGGACATTTCCTTCCCAGTTAACACGAGGCTGCTGATGGGGGCTTCTTCCAAGGGCACACTGGGCCAGAGCTAACCTAGGCATCAGTTACTGGGGATTACTGCTTGCTGTGCTAGTACCTAAGGGCTCCATTTTTATAATTGGTCCTGTATAGGAATAGATCTGTACATGGCCATTGACAGTCTAATCCACAATTGTGCACAGAATGGGCATTTCATTTTGCTGTGAACCTCAATACTCCAATATTTCTCTTCATCTGGCAAGGCCCAAAGCTTCCCTGACTTGATGAGAATCTCCCAGGCAGAAATTAGAAGTCTTTGAAGGTGATAAAAATGATCTGTTCAGTCCGCGCTCCTGTTTTGTAGCTTGCACCACATGGGACACACACAGTGCAGTCCAAGCCTGCAGTTGCATTCCTCCTGAAAATGTCAGAGGGACATTTTGGCACTGGCAGCTTGCCTCTTCCCTCCTCTGAAACCACACATGGGCAAAAGCAATGCGGCTTTTGGGAGCTCCACACCCCGGGGAGGTGGGGTATGGTTCGGCTGACGTCCTCCAAGCGGGCAGGGGAGGCAGCACATGGTGGCTGCAAGGGCTGTGTTAGTGCTGTGACATTTCTGCGGGGTGACGTGAGAGGGATAAGTGGTCCCTCAGTGCCACCCGTTCTTCTAAAGGGCTGATGGCATTACCCCCATACAACATCTTGAAAGCTTCTTGAACATCACCGAGCAGGACTGTGACACCCGAGACAGAGCTTCCCGGTTCTCCTCAATGCACCGAGCTCAACATAAGCAAAGCTGGCTTTGCCACTCCCTAAGTTTTACAGACAAGTGCTGTGGCCAACACAGCTCACCTCCATCCTGATGCCCACCAGCTCGGTGCCACTGGCAGGGTCCTAGTTAATTTGCTGTAGGACATCCCCTGCGCAAGCAGACCCATGCTTGCTGTTCCCAGAGACAAGCCATGCATGCAAACAAGGTCACACCCAGCCTGTTTCTGCAAGCCTGTCCTATGGACTCAGGTGCATTCATTTCTCATCTGCTGCCTTGATTTCTTCTGTCCATATCTTGGATTCCTTTCAGCCATCCCTTGGGAAGGATTATAGGGCTGCATCACATACCAGTAAGGGGTTTCTCTTGCTCCAGATCACCTCGCATGGGAAGACCCTCTGTTCTGCTAAGAACCTCTTTGAGACTGTCAGAAACCTGGAGCTGTTGCCTCTCCCGGAGGGTGCTGTAGAAACGGCCTCTTTGCAGTGCTCTTTGCAGCTGCTGGAGGAACAGAGCAGTTAAACACACACTGCTGTTAAAGGAAGGATCACGGTCAAAGGCGAGTGGCTATTGAGGACAAGTACCACGCTCTCGCAGCTTGCCAGGGCATGCCATGAGCAGGAGAGGACCAGGCAGCTCCCGATAAGCTCACCTGGGGAACGGTTTGGCAGGGACGTGCTAGTGCCTCCCTTCCAAGTGCTTGGTCCTGAGGGTGGTGGAGAGCTGGCATGGGGCCATGGGACTGGACCATCACAGCATGCGGTGTCAGGCCAGCCCTCACTCCAGGTCCTCTTCCCCAAAGTGT